AAACAGAGGTTTGGACCTGAAATAGAGCGAAGTTTAACATCGTTCAGTGGTAGAGAAAAAATGCTGTAACTAAAGCAGTTATACACTTTCACGATACCAATAAAGGTACATACTATCCGGTATAACCGAAATGACAAAAGTTATTCATGTTATGTCCCGGCGAAGAGACATAATTCACGCGCGTTTTCCCATAGGAATACACAGGGCGGATGGAAATGTAGACTCCATGCTGTCTGCTTCAATTTGCAACCGGAAGTCCCGTAGACACTAGCGCCAGCTGAGCCTCTAGCGTTTATTGTAATAACTCTATGGGCCCGCCGTACCTTATGGGGTGTGCAAAAACGGTTCCCTAAAGCGCTCTACATTGAGGGTATACCGTTCGCCTGTTTCGTTTACGGGTAACATTCTTTATCTACAGGGTGTCCCAAAAATAATAACTACAGAAATACACTAGGCAAAGCCCAACGCTCATTCTTCGCCCAAATGTAGATTCAGTTGGTCCGAACCAAAGTTTCAGAACCAACCATTAGGTTAATAAAAACTTAGAAGGAATTTTCTAAAATTTTCAATGGGTATAAGTGGTGCCCGACGGAGCCCTCAACACATGGAACTGAATTGCGTCAGTTACCAAAAATGAACCCCATTTTCCAATTGAGATATTCAAAAGGTCACTATGACTTTTTGTAGAGTTACATTTAAGCGAAAGCTAAGCGCTTTTGCAAAACACAATTTTTTTTTTTTTTTTTCATTTATTAAAGATGTTGTAGTTGAGTTCCGGCAAAAACCTTAAAGGGACACTGAACTCCCCAAATTTTTTTTTCATTTTTTGCCAGGCGCTTTATGATGGTTGTTGGAGGACTACCCAATTAATATTTTGCAACAGAGTAGCGTATATTTTTAATAAAGCCAAAAGACGCAACTGCTCGAAACCGAAACCGAAACCCGCGCACGGAGGTCGGAGAAGTGGAGAGGAGAGAGTGAGTGGCGGAAGTCACGTGGCTACACCCGACCGTGCGCTTTTATTTTTTTATTTTTTTCCTCTGCGTAGCAGACAACATGCGTGGCGGTGTAGCGAGAACTGTTTAACGTGCGATTCTTATGCAGTTATGTTTGTTCCGCTCGCTGTTCTGTACTTCAAGATGAGTTGTTTCGTACATTGAGGAGTTGGAGATGAGTAGTGAGTGCCCGTGGTGTATTTCCGTGATCGGCTCCGAAAAATATACACCCAAGATGTTGCGTGGAGAGCTGGCTCACCTGTCTTGTGTCCGAAAAAAAGTGGCATTGTGCGACAGAGTTTCCGAAATATCAACGGGATCGGGACCAATGGCTGGCTGCAATTCCTGTACAGCATTTGGGAACCTCGGAAAGCGGACGCTACCTGATTTATATGCTCCTTGCAATTTGTGGAAAGTGATTACATTCAGTTCGCAGGTGTCAAAAAGGAAATCCCATACCATTTAATTCAGCGACGTTTCGTCCACAACATTTGTTTCTTTTTTTTTTCTGTTTCTTCAGTGATAATTGTAAAAAAAAGAAAAGAAATGTAAACATCAAAAAATATTTGAAAAAAAAAAAAAAGGGGGTGTCAGGGGGATCGAATCCGGTCCTACCGCGTGTGAAGCGGACGTTTTTCCCACTGAGCTACTGGGGCATATAGAAATTTCGGAATCTCTTTCCTTAGTAATAATTCAGCCGATATACTGTAACTTGCAAAGTTCGCTGCCGATTTTCCTCGAGCAAAACCACTCCCGGGTCGAAGTCGGGATACACCACGCATTGGCGATATTCTCACCTAGTAAAGAAATCGTACGCGTGCATATTCAACTTGAAGTAGACACGTCGTGCTTGACGTTTGCGCGAGCGACGTCTTCAGCCACGAGAAGGGAGCGACGGCTCGGCGACGTCTTCGTGCAAATCGGCTTGGTGGTCGGGCGTGTCGTATGGAATGAATACCAATTCTTTTGATTAGTCCCAAATTTCTCTTTTAAAGGCAGACAGAATTCGCCGATACCGCGAACGACAGTTCTGAAGTAGAGGTCCCACGCCCGTCGTCCGCTGCCATCGCCGTTCCCGCGAGTCCCACGATACGCGAAACGACGCACGCACAGAGTGCTTCCGGTTCCCTGTGCAACTTTTTTTTTTTCAATCAACGTATTTGCAGCTTTTTAGAAGCCACAAAAAATGTTTTCATATTTTTTTCTATTTTTAATATTGAGTGTGTGCCTTCAGTGACCAAGGAATTTGATTAAATTTGATGGTCGCGTCGATACCTTAGAAAACGGCCCGTGACCACGGAAAAGAGAGTGAGCGACACTCGAACCGGCCAGTTTTTGATCGGCGGGTTTCGGGCGGAAAGAAACCGAATTTCGAGCCGCAAATTGTGTTCTGGGTAGTTGGGCTCTCATATGTCATGTATAACTAAAAACCTCGGCGAGCATAAATACCCTGTCAGTGTCCCTTTAAAAGGCGCTTGTTGGATTTTTCCAACTCCCAGGCACATCTGTAGAACGTGCGGTGGGAATACGGCGCAGTATACGAACAAGGGCAATTAATTCAAAACGCGACAAAATATTTCCAGCTGAATATCGCTAAGCCCTAGCGTGCACTGTTCTTCCGCCCGTAAAAAAAAAAAAAGAAAGAAAAAAGCATCATGCAGCATTTTTTGCTTGGCCGAGTCGGCTGTTGTAGCCGTCATTTTGCTTCGAAAACATACCAAGCAACTTTAAGTGCCTTTACTAACTATAGGTGAACACATCCAGCTGGGCAAAAGAGACGGCCATTCTTTATTCTTGGCATGTTGACATGTGATCTTGTCTAGCGTGCGTTTCACTTTTTTTTAGAATACTACTTGCTTTACTTTAAGGGATGCTGAACCAAACATTTCAGAGTCTATAATAAAGTGGCGCACTATCTTTCCATGAGTCAGCAGCCGCCAGTGTGCACGAGCACAAGCAACGAAATTGACGTCATCATAATATTCCCCTATTCGGGATTGTGATGACGTCAATTTTGTTGCGTGTGCTCGCGCACACGGGCGGCTGCTGATTCATAGAAAGATAGTGCGCCACTTATTATAGACACTGAAATGTTTGGTTCAGCATCCCTTTAAGCAGCCAAAGTGGTTACAACATAAACTTAACAAAATGCTAGATAAACCAATGAGCAATCTATAAAAAAATGTAAGTCAACTGCCGTAACAAACTGATCAAAAGATGGTAAAATTACAATATTATTTGTGAGTTCATTCCAACCGTGAATAGCCCAAGAAAAACGATCGAAAACAGTTATTTTTGAACCTCTACTGCGTCATTGCCCTGAAATGGTTTAGTCGGGGGGATCCTGTTATTGAGAATTCTAAATAGTCTGAACTTCGTATTCTGAGAGAGCCATTTAGTATATTGTAGACAATCTTTTTATCTATTAATTTTTCCTCTCATTTCTAAGGTCTGCAGTCTAGGTCCTTCCACTAACTCCGTTGCTGGTGATGTAGTGCTTGTAGTTCTTAAAAATAAACCGAGCCGCAAGCTTTTGGAGACTTTCTAGTTCATTAACACCAGTTTTTCTGAAACGGCACCACATCGAGTTTGCATACTCTAATATAGGTCTCACAAACCGCTTGTACGCGATAGGTTTAGTGTCCAAATCCGGAAATTTGCATTTTATTCTTACTGCAAACAATATGGTTCTGTCTTTGGTTATCGTATAGTTTATAGATGATGATTCCAGATTAGTTTATTATTGAAGAAAAGCCCTAAATACTTGCATTGTTACACTCGTTTTATATGCTGCCGGTCTAGCGAATAATTAAAATGAATCGGGTTTTTTTTTTACGTGAACTTAACATGATTACCAATTTATAATAATAAAGCTTTATTTGACTTTCATTACTCCGGTCCAACATTGCCACAAGTGCTTGCTGCAGCAGTTTATGATTGTTCCAGTTATGTTTTATTTTATGATATATTATGCAGTCTTCTGCAAACAATCTGCGTGGAGCTGCGATTGTAACTATATTGTTAGAATCTTTATATTTGTTTTGCTAAAACACTGTGCGGGCATGGTTTTTATGAAAAAAAACTAACCAATATGTCAGAACGACCAAGTAATAGGCCTTTTTTTCGAAAGTGCGTGCGATATCTAGTATGTGCTGCGCCAAGTATCAGAGCCCGCAGTTCTTAGGCGACGCACTAGGAGCATATAGAGGACACAATTACTCCGTCCGTGTTCGGCGTGATTTCGGCACAGCTCATGTCGAAAACGAGAGCTACGTCAGCACTCGGCGAACGCTCGGATCCAACCTGATGCATCGTGCCCAAAGAAATCGAGTTGACAACCGTTGCTTGATGGGGCTTTGACGAGGGTGTATTCCTTGATATAGACCCTTATTCACACGTTTGTGAATACCGTTTTTACTGCTGAGAATGCATGATCACTGGATCGCTATACCGCAGCATTCTTTTCACTGGCTAAGTTCATAGGACGATCAATGATTGGCTTTTTTTTGTACATCGCGGAGCGGTATAGACACAAGTGTTTGAAAAGGCAAAAGCAAACCTTACGTCGTGTTCTCTTAACAATGTCGTGCATTGTAGATGAAAGGCAAAAGCAAGCCACGGCTGGACAAGTGTTTGACGGTGATGGGTGTGCATGTTTATAATGGCATTATGAATAAGGCTCAAGACCCGACGACATTATTTGTTGTTGTCATTCCTTAAACATGTGGATCAATTGACCCCTCAATCAAACACAGCGTGAATTGATCTATTGTATCATGTCGAGTTTCTTTGGCAGCCCGCACATGAGGCTATTCCACAAAATTCTGCGAGTCGTTCCCTCATAAATGTTTGTCTTTTTGTCCTTGTTTTCAGAGGCATGCACAAGAGCCAATAAATCCCATTCATCTTGATGCCCCGCGCCCATGCAATATCTTCTCTGTGAGACGCCTGGATTTAGAGCTAACTCAACACGCCGGTAGTCCAAGGACCAAGAATCGTGACCTAATGACTAAGCTCTGGAAATGCTCGCACCGATCTACCCTCTGTTTTTATTCGAGGCTTCACTGCTCTGCCTTTCCAAGGTACCAGCGCATACTAGCGACAATAATCCTGCTAGCTGCTCTCACCATCGTAGTCGTCTACGCCATTCAAAGTTACGCTTATCACAGACAGCTTGGAATGGACACAATTTGGGATGGAAACGTGGAAGATTTCACGTACCCCGAAAACGTCACCTTCATCGTTCCTAACATCGTGCACTTTATAAGACTTGGAGATGCACCGCTGTCCTTCGTAGAAGCCATCTGCATGAGAGCCGCGTGGATCCAGCAGCGACCAGAAGCCTTGATGATCCACTGCGACAAGTGCAACGCAACCATGGAAAGTCCTCTGTGGTACCTCATCAAGGACCTTCCTGGCCTTACGCTCCGTTACATCCAAAGACCCACAGAGATCTTCGGTGTCAACCTCCGCTACATTCAACATACTTCCGATGTGGTTCGGGCCGTCGTGCTGATGAAGCACGGCGGAATCTACCTCGACGGTGATGCCTACATCGTGAGGAACCTGGACGTGTATCGCCGCTATGAAATGTCGGTCGGGTGGTACCCGGGAGGGAGCGTCGGCACCCAGGTACTCGTTGCACACAAGGATGCCAGGTACCTCAAGCTCTGGTACGATTCGTACCGGATGTACCGCCCCGAGCTGTGGTACTGGAACGCCGGAGATCTGCCGACCAAGAGGTTCCTTTCCGTGAGACCAGATCTTGTGAACCGCGTTCCTTACGACTTCGGCGTGAGCGAAGCGTTGGTCGACACTCTTTACATGGAATGCAATAACAAGTGGAGGGCACACTCGGCTTTCCATCTGCTGCTGCGTCACAGGGCCCGAATGGTGCCAGTGGACTTTGCGAAGTACGGTACGTTGACATTGGAGAACATTCCAAACTACGACAGGAACTTTGGCCAGATGGCCCGCCTGGTTTTGTCGGGCACCACACGGCTCGGCGCGTCGGAGGTGAAGACTATAGACTGGTTTTCTAAACATCCCCTCGAATACTCCAAGCGTGGCTGCTCCTCAGATACCAATTAAACTGGTTTGTCGAGGAGCTCATCCAGAGAGCCCAATGATATCTGAGGGAAAAAAATCGCAATGCACCCAGTCAATTAAAGGGCCTGCTGAGCACGTACCAAAAGACAGTGAAAGAAGATAATAAAAACTCCCGTCGAACTTCTTTGATACCTGTTCAAACTGTAGGTGTATTGTATTAGTACGGTATTACACCACGTTCTTATTGATGCTAGGAATGTGCTCATCTCCGTAAAATTTGGACACTGTACGTGATTGGTAGGTTGTAATTGTTTGCGTTGTCTCGTGATTTTTCGTATGCTATTTATTGAAAACGTGGAAACGTGATTATTTCAAATAAATATCTTTAAAAAATGTTGCATTGTGCCATGAATCGATTTTATTGCCTATTGTGCTATGTCAAATGTCTGAAACTTTATCCATTTCCAATTTGTTAAATTTGAATTGATGGTATATCAATCAAAGTTTTCAAAGCGTGTCTAAAGGATATATTGTGCGAAAACGCAACTTCCAACTGTGTGTCACGTTTTCTGACATTCACTCATTAGTTATTTAGTATTTTGTTTCCCAAAATTCAATAAAAAAAGTGCCTCGCGAACTGCTCCTTTAGCAGTCGCAGATAAACATGAGGGTTTTGTGCAATGAACTGGATTTGTGTCTCCATAACCAACCACCCAATCGTTGGTGTTGCAAACGACACCAACCTTCGCTTCTGCTTGCATGCGTCGGCATGGGGGCTTTTGATAAGAGCATGCACTTCCATTGCTCGAGCGCACTTTCAGTGTGTCCATGCTTTCAACTAGGGCACTCGCCGTCGCCCATGTTCGCTGCATGCGTCAATTTGTATCAAGTCCTCGGACAGTAAATTCTGAAAATGGTACCCTGCCAAAACTCAATGGGACAACCGTAGCACTGTGCTCGGCGCTTGTCACTTACATTATTAATAGACCGATCTCACAGCCAGTTCCATAACGCCACCACTGCCGTCATGCATCGTGGGAACTATAGTGCCACTAAATAAGCTACGCTTCAGAGTAATGACACTTAGTCATATTGTGGCTTAAAATCATGGTTGCCAGTTATCTCAAGCTTTATCTATAATCATAGGAAACGATTTTCCGTCCTCCACAAATGTTCATACAGTTCGCGACATAGCAAAGCAATATGACATGAGATTCTTAACACCGAATCTAATAAATAAACTGGTCTGTGCGTGTTTATACAACCTGAACTTATTGTATGCCTCAACGGGCTGCTTGTCTCTTAGCTGTATAGAGCTTTTTAGCCAGTGCGGTACAACCGCTTGCCTGAGGTCTTTAACGCGCACCATGCAGTAGTGATACAGGACCGCACGCCGGTTTACGATGCTCATCCAGATCGAAACGGGCAGGGCTGTGGATCGAACCCAGGATCCCTGGATTTAACACCGAATCTAATGCTGAGGAAGTCGCACTTTTGAATAATGACGATCGCCAGTTCCGTCTCCTCTGCACAGGCACCAAGATGACGGCGCCCCCAACAGTATCGGGCATCAGAGGCCCGATACTAGGGTGTATTAGAATGGGGAGCTGTGCACCGTCCGGTGGTCGTGACTGTATCGCAATATCCGAGCACGCCGGTGAGGGCGCTGTGGAGCAGAGCGCGGCAATTCGACGAGTGACACAGACAGTTGCGACGTCTCTTTTTGACCTTTAGAAAATAGCAAGAGTGCGCGTGCATAGCTTTGATGGGCGCTGAAGATGCGCGACAGCGGAGATTCCGAAAGCTCCTGATATGACGTCACACCCCGGGAAGGAGGAGCTTCAGCAGTATTGCCACTTAATTTCTGCAGCCTCCGTGCACCAAATTGAAAAAAAAAATTATGTCGATATTCGTGATCCTGGAGGCTAAACGAACACGATTTAAGTGTTTTTCCTCAAATACAAATCCGTTTCATTTTTCCTTTAAAAGCCTCCTCTAGACACAAAGAAGCAACGCTTCTTCGGCACTCAGTTTCGAAAACTTCATGTTTGTGTAGCGAAATCTGTCCATTGAGCGACGAGCGGGTAAATCCCCCTTAAATCTTGCAGGTGCTGTTTCTGCTGTTGACTCAAATCGCAATTTACCCTGTTGTTGTAGACCTCCAAAAAACACACCCATTCACGCGTTTAATCTTTTTTCTAAGAAACAGACGAAGAGCGACTTCCCAGTTCATATCTTCTTTATTCTACTCTTCATTATTTTTTTTTTTCGTGTGTTGCGCATGCGTTGTTTAACTCAGTCGATGTCTTGAGTGGCCTCTTCCACCTGCGCCTGGGGACACTCCGAGAGCGGCACGCACCTCCCCTCGCTGTTGCGGTAGAAGCCCGCTCCGCAGTAGCAGCCGTGCCTACAGTCCGCGGTGCACTGCACCCTCGGCACCGGCCTCTCGCAGGTTTCCTCGGCGCAGGAGCTGCTCACGCACCTCTTCCACACTTCGCCCTCTTCGCAGGGCTTGATCTGGAACGGCCAGCCGGGAACTGCGAGGTAGAAGCGTTCGGTGGTCGATGACTGCCTGAAGAGACTGGCAGCTATCGGTAGTTCATCTTAAAACCGCAGTCACATTTCGCACGCATCACACCAAAAACATGGTGTTCGCTAGAGGCAGGATGACAAAACTTGGAGGACGCTTAAGCTTCGCCTTTAAGAGTGGAACGCGATAGCGAAGTCAGACGCCGTTTGCAAAGCCTTCTAATTCGCTTCGTCATGCTCTTCCTTCCAGTGAGCAGAGAAAGCGGCGGTCATAGCCCAGTCAGTAGCCTGTCGGGCTCGCAGCCGAAGGGTCGTGTGTTCGAATCCCGCCGATATTTCTTCAAATTTGTATTTGAAGTCATATCACAAATTTGTAAAGTGAAGTTATTCGAGACATACGGCGACCTTTAATTCGCTTGACAAGTCGTGTCTTTATTCACTTCCATTCCACGCGTGAGGTCATGTTTCAAGTGAACGTTGTGGGATTGAAATTCTCGAACCAGGTCATGCAGCTGTAACATCATAATCCTACGACCAATCAGGATTTTCCCGCCACAACACCGCAGGCGACACGAGCAACGCCTCAATCATGTTCGACATGTGTTTTATGAGCCGATTTTCACGGAGTTTCGTAACATTTGACTGTAACGAAAAACCGACACGGGAAAGCGTTACGCCCATATACCGTATAAAATTACCTCAGTCCCCGGCAGGATTTGAACTCACTATAGCTTAATTGATATGCGAGCCAAGTGATTTGTCGACTGGGCTGGTTGGTGTTCGGAGCACGGAAGAGCGAACTGATTGGAGCAGTTCGCGAAGGTGGGATCGCGCGTTTACAGGCCTCTTATCACGCTGCGCCATCTCCTGGCGTTTGTCAGAAATGGGAACGAATCTACGGTAAGCGTTCAGACGCCAAGCTCCTCGGCTTCCCTGGAAGGCCTATCACACATTCTGTGCTTTCCAATCTTTGATAACATGATCAAGCTTTCCCATATATGTATATTTTATACAACTTATGTCTCAGGATTGTCATACAAAGAAGAAACACGCACAAGACTGTGTCTGCAGAATCTCTTTGTGACCGCGGCACTAAGCTTCGTTATCTGTCAGGTGTTGCTCGAACCTGCCACTCTGGAGGACCGACACCTCTTAGGCGGCAAGGCCGTGCGCGCTGGATTTGTGACGTCACCTATACCGAAGGTCATCGCGGGGTACATATTGCACACTGGCATTGCGCGTGCGCAGAGACCAGTGGAGTGAAGCTTCTGCGCGTGCGCCGTGTCGACAACAGCGCCACCGCAGCAGAGTGACGTGCCAGACCCAGTTGTTGGTGTATACACGATTGGATTCTGGGCTAGCAGTTTCTCGCGGTAGGTGTCCATTGGGAATTTTTGAAACTGGTTCGTTGTCTATAGCTGATCCGGTCGTCGGTAGGTTTTAGGTGGAAGGGACTCACGGTTTTGTGACTGGTCCTTTTCTCCGGGCGGGCACTGATCAGCGGTCACGCACGCGCCGTCGGCGGTCCTGTAGAAGCCCTCGTCGCAGAAGCAGTCGTAGCGGCAGTCGAGCGTGCAACCGGGCCCCACATGACGCCGTGTGCAAGACTTCTCGGCGCAAGAACTGCTCGCGCACTCCTTCCACACTTCGCCCGCGTTGCACCGCCGAGGCCGCGGGGCCCCAGTGTACAACGGCAACACTGAAAATACCGCCCGATACAAAGGGTATAGCCACTACCCTCCGTCTAGCTATACGCCAATTATCCTTTCTTTATTTGTTCAGGTTACCTCGCAGTCTCAGAAATGCAGAGCGTGGCTCACCATTTTCACTCCCGCGGTGTACATTGGGCACGAGCATACCACTGCCAGCGTTCGACCCGGACTCGTCTTCAATGAGTGAAGACGCGAATGCCAGTCGAACGCAGACGGAACGCTCGTCTCCATCACCGCAGGAGGCGTCCGCCAGGTATATATGCCCGTGATCGGTTTTGTCGGGAATAGCGAGAGGCTTTAGGTTGAGGGAACTTACGGGGTTGCGACTGGTCCTGTTCCCCGGGCGGGCACTCGTCGATGGTCACGCATGCGCCGTCGGCGTTCCTGTAGAAGCCGTCGGCGCAGTAACAGCCGTAGCGGCAGTCGAGCGTGCAGCCGGGACCCACCTGATGCCGCCTGCAAGACTTCTCGGCGCAAGAACCGCTCACGCACTCCTTCCACACCTCGCCCGTGCCGCACTGCCCAGGCTCCGGGGGCCACTTGAGTGTCGGCAACACTGAAACGCCACCCGTTACAGGAAAGAGGAATCGCTCGACGCTGTCATTGACTTATGAATTACCTCGCCGTGTCTGAAAGGTATTAGTGCGAGGGATGCGAGTATGTCTTGCAAGGTTACATATATTAGGAAATTTTACTTCAGATAAGACCACACGGCACGAGCGTGAGACCCATACATAAATGGTTCATGGTCGTCTATGGAAAATTCTGTGGCAGGCTATCACCCCATATGGCCCTCTATAATCCGCCATAGAAATCCATAAGTACAGCTACAGCCAGTTGGGGAAAAATCTATGGCCCTGTGTCTAAAGACTGGGAACTAATAAAGTTTCTTTACACGCCTATAGAAAATTGTATTGCCCAGGGCCTAAAGACTGGGAACCTAACGTTTCTTTGCCCGCCTATAGGAAATTCTATGGCCCCGTGTCTAAATCCCGGGAACGAATAAATTGTCTTTACCCGTCTATAGAAATCTTTATGGCCCTGAGTCTAAAAATCTCCCCTCCATGCTCGCGGCGGAAGCGACGGTCGAACCGCCGCTGCCGCCGCGAACATATTCAATGGCGGTGAAGGCAACATGACGTCTTGGTTGCCGTCACCTAGAGCGATCCTACTACTGCCCATGCGCGGTGCTAGCGGAGGAAAAGCGGAGCTGCGGAGGATACCGGAGGTACAAGGCCTGCTCACACAGACAGTGGAGCGCTAAGTTAGCGCTACGTCAGCGCTCCAAGGAGCGCTAATATGGTGCTTCCTGGCGCGTGACTTAGTTCTAATATAGCGCATGATTAGCGCTTTAGTAGTGCCTGGTTAACGCTCCATTAGCGCCTTGTTAGCGCTCCAGTAGCGCCTTGTTAGCTCTTCAGTAGCACCCTGTTAGCTCTTCTTGTAGCGTGGTGCTGCGGATTAGCGCGTGCATTGCGGTTCCGCTTCTTGTGGTTGGGTGTGCATCAACAGTACCATGGCGGACATGTGGGACGCTGAAATAGAAACGCGACAAATGCTCTTACATAATCAATTAGTGCATGTGCGCGAGGACGACTTAACGCCCAGAAGAGCATTCTGGGAGCGCGAAATCTTTCGACACCGAGATACCGACGGGTACATGGCGAACCTCGTTCCCAGGCTGAGAGAAGAAAGTTCTTTCGAAAGTGAATTCTTTTCTTTAACTGCGTGTCTTCGAAACCAGGGTCACTCATGTCGAATAGAAATCGATGAGTTCGTACCCAATCAGTTAGGCGCTCAAAGTCCCTGACTCTGGATCATCTGCCCGACCGCTTGCTTGGAGAGCGGCTCTTTTACTTTCTCTAATTCTTTCGCCACCAAAGGAAAAAAAACGGAATCACCATGCACGCGCTGTTCCGCAGCAGCAAGCACGTCACCTCAAGCACAAGGAGCGTGAGAACGCTAACAAAGCGCTTCTGGAGCGCTAACAGAGCGCTGCTGAAGCGCTACCCGAGCGCTACGTCACGCGTATATAGGAAGCGCCACATGAGCGCTCCTTCGAGCACTTACTTAGCGCTCCGCTGTATGCGTGAACCGGCCTTAGTTCAGCAAAAAAGCGAGGCGCGTAGCGCGGCGTGTGTCTCGCGAGAGTCACGCCGTATATGCCCGTTCCGATATCGCGCTTGTTCATGGTGGACGAAAGCCTGCTGCTGCAATGAGTACAGGTGGCGATTCATCACTGGCATGGCAAGTACGACCACTTCCGTCGCGTTACTTGCTACATGACAAGTATACGTATAACCCTGGAGCGAGGGAACAAAACAAGGACGGACAGGCACAAAACTATGTCTACCCTTAACCAGCTCGCCTGGGTACTTGGTTTAACTTTAATGACAAGTAAGGTGCGCAAAAAAACAAATCGACGTAATCTTAGTTGTTGTTGTTGTTGTTATTTTTTTGCGGGATCACGTAGTTGCCAAGATTGCTGCTCTATTCAAGTCGACCCATATCTGCGTTCCTATACCCTTGTCACCTCCGCGAGAAACGTATACTGTTCAAATAAAGCGTGCGTACCATACAGTGAAAGATTATCCGAGCGGCGTTTATTTCAGTTCTTTGTAAAAGTGAACAGCATATCCAGTCGATAAGAACGAGCATGGCGTTGCGACAAGCGACTGCGTCCGACATACGTTGCAGTCCGTCAACATTGAGACTACGATCGGCTTGCGGGAACATGCGTTTTTTTCAAAAACCATAGCCGCACCGCCCCGCACAAGAAATGACACTGAAATGACGATTTGGCGAAGGAACGAAGCAACGGATTCGGAAAACAAGGTGAACTATTCAGTCGGGAAGAGCCCACTTGGAGGAAAGGGTCCTTCAGACATTCCATTCTCTGGTTGCGGGGCGAAGTGCGTTCCGACATACGTTGCATCTCCTGCTACATATCAAATACCGCATTATCAAAAAAAAAAAAAAAGTCAGTCTTATTTTTGTGTTTAAAACCTAGATCACGCAAGGGCGAGATTATCTGTAGTTTCTATAATCTGCACAAGATCCCATGAAAGTTCGCTTTGATTCGCGCATGATTAAAGAAAAACGGGAGGGATTCTGTATTTGAGGAAAAAATACATACCTAAATCGTCTTTGTCTCGCCTCCTGAATCACGAATATCAAAATTATATTTCGGAATCATGGGCTAAGTAGCTACAAAGGCGCTTTCGAAATAGCACTGAAGCCTCTCCTCACCGGCACGTTCCGCGGAAGGCGGGAATCGTTACGGAAGAGATTTCAACATTTCCACGCTTTAAAGAAGCCTTTACCCGAGCAGTCAAAAACTCTGTACGCGTTCTCTCACAAGCGGCACCATGCAAAGCCGTTGGAGTCTACGTTACAAGATTACCTCAGTTCTGGAACCCCGGCGGAAGGGGGTACCCCCTTTCACTCCCTTCAGTCCGCCTCCCGTCGTTTGAAGCGCCATCTAGATTTTCATTTCAAAACTGCGTGTTCCATAGAGTACGGTGAAACGCCATAAATTTAGCACAAAGATGCGGCTGAGTGGTGCAGAAGTTTTTATGAAAATATGACAGGACAAACTTGCCTCATTCAAAACTTACAAAAAAAACAGAAATTTCGTATGGCTCAATTAGCTTCTTTAATTAAGCTTTTTGTAAACTACACAAAAAAGCGTTCCAATGGGCAAGACAGAAAACGAGAGCAGAACAAGGATCGTCTGCTCCACGCTCTTTGATGTTGCTGTAAAATAAAACGTCCCAAACGTCCAAAGCTATGTGTGTTTTTTTTCTGTTTTTTTGTTGTTTTTTTTTTTTACATTTGCGTAATAAGTTTTGGTTTCTTAGATGCAACTTTTGATCGAGGCAAGTTAGCTAATAAGTAATTAAAAAATAAGTAATAAATGCACCACCCAGCCGCGTATTCGTGCTAAATTACACTGATCGCTTTAGTGACACGAAATATGATCACAGCTGAAATATTACGTCAAAGTGGAGCAGGTACCCCAATAAAACCGATTTCAAAGATGGGACCAACTGCTCTTTAGCGGGCGGCAAGCGGCGGTAAGCTTTTAGTCAAACACTGGCGCAGCACCCTTATAACGTCACGTCGCCGTGGAGCTGCGGTTGATCGCTTGTACCACAGCCATAGGTCGGCATTTTGAGTTGGAGTCATTCAATATCATGTCACTTTTACAAACTCTCCCCGAATTCATTCACGCTCATATCACAAATTTTTCCACCATCCAAAAATCAACATGAGTCAGATCAAGAATTTTACCAAGGCCTCAAATTCACCAAGACTCATCTCGGAGAGATTATTAATATCACTGATATCGCAGGAGTCAACCTCAAAAAATATCCCCAGAGTCAAACTCAAAAAATATCAACTCGAGTAGGTCTCAAAATAAAAATATATCGCCCGAGTCAAACTCAAAACAAATATATATCATTAGAGTCAAACTCAAAATATATCAACCGAGTCAAACTCAAAATATATCACTAGAGTCAAACTCAAAATATATCACCCCAGTCAAATTCAAAATATATCACCGGAGTCAAACTCAAAACATATCACCGGAGTCAAACTCAAAATATATCATCCGAGTCAAACTCAAAAAGATATCACAAACTATCACTGATATCACAGGAGTCAAACTCAAAAAATATCATTCCTATCACCGGAGTCAGTTCACTCACGGGATCACGTGACATCTCTCTGAACTTACTGGGCTGGCCTGTCCTTCCCCGCGCGGGAAGAGGCAGTCACACCCTTCTCCGCTCAGGCGAATTAAGGCCCGTTCACACTCTTGCGACCGAGTACGACCGAGTACGACTGAGAGAGACGAGGATCTCTTAAAACTTCTTAAATGTTTTTAGAATGAGGTAACACACTGGTATTGTGGCGCCATCTATGCGGTGACCCTGGAACTGCATTTCACAAGAGCGAAGGTTTTGCGGGATTTCCGAGGTCAAATGTGCGTAATAACCATAGAAAGGCTCGTTTATAACATTGACAAAAGTTTTTTGAGCCAAGAAAGAAAGGATAATGCGCGAGAAATAAAAAAAAATATGCCGGACCGCCGAGTTTACACTGCTTCCCAATAGATGGCGCCAGTGTGTTCTCTGGTTTAAGAGGTTTTAAAGGAGCGATGCAACAATTTTTGTACTGTGCACAAATACCGCTTAAATCGGATCCCTAACGTTAATGACCTATGAAACACGCGTTCGTTTTTCACCCCACGCAATAGAAGTCCCAGAAAAAAATTTAAGAAAAACGAGCGGCGTTCACCCCCTCAACTCGCAGCCAGAACAAGCGGCCACGTGATCTGGAGCCGATTATATGCCGCCAGTGTTGATCATAGCCACGCGCAGGGGTTGGCAAAGCGCAGGACACGCGCTGAGTTCCAGACATTGTTATGGCTCGGCTGTTGTCGTCGTTGCAGCGATTGGACACGGGTCACAACCCGAATGCTTCTCGAGCTAGCAATTGTCACGAGCCCAAGTCGAGTGCCCACGCAATGCTCGGGTCCAATCTGTGAAC